TGTGTGTGTGTGTGTGTGTGTGTGTGTGTGTGTGTGTGTGTGTGTGTATGTATTTTTCAGATTGAAGGGGAGAGCAATTTTCTTTGCTAATTAAATATATTTAAGAAAATATGGTAATTTAAAAATTTTCTAATTTAGTGAATTTATGTATTAGTAATTATCAGCTTTATGGAGATAGCATAAAACATTCTTTTTCTAAGTTATTTTAGATTATTTCCATTTGTGAAAAACTGTATTTATATCAGTCATGAGTTATACTACTTACCTTTACTGAACTTGAGCTGTTAACACATTCTTCAGAAAACTTTAGAAGTACAAAACTGCCTCACAATAGAATTCAGTTTTTTCTGGCTTTAGTTTCCATGTTGTCAAAGGACATTTCATGTTAAACATAGTAGGATATTTCTGAATCTCTGACAGGTGTGAGGTGGTATCTCATTGTGGTTTTGATTCGTATTTCCCTGATGATGAGTGATGTTAAGCATTTTTTCATGTGTTAGTTGGCCATCTGGATGTCTTCCTTGGAGAAGTGTCTATTCATGTCTTTTGCCCATTTCTTCACTGGATTATTTGTTTTTTGGGTGTTGAGTTTGATAAGTTCTTTATAGATTTTGGATCCTAACCCTTTATCTGATACGTTGTTTGCAAATACCTTCTCCCATTCTGTTGGTTGCCTTTTAGTTTTGCTGATTGTTTCCTTCGCTGTGCAGAAGCTTTTTTTTTTTTTTTTTGATGAGATCCCAATAGTTCATTTTTGCTTTTGTTTCCCTTGCCTCTGAAGACATGTTGAGTAAGAAGTTGCTGCGGCCAAGATCAAAGACGTTTTTGCCTGCTTTCTCCTCGAGGATTTTGATGGCTTCCTGTCTTACGTTTAGGTCTTTCATCCATTTTGAATTTATTTTTGTGTATGGTGTAAGAAAGTGGTCCAGGTTCATTTTTCTGCATGTCACTGTCCCGTTTTCCCAGCACCACTTGCTGAAGAGACTGTCTTTATTCCATTGGGTATTCTTTCCTGCTTTGTCAAAGACTAGTTGGCCATACACTTGTGGGTCCATTTCTGGGTTCTCTGTTCTGTTCCGTTGATCTGAGTGTGTCTGTTTTTGTGCCAGTACCATACTGTTTTGATGATTACAGCTTTTGTAGTACAGCTTGAAGTCCAGGATTGTGATGCCTCCTGCTTTGGTTTTCTTTTTCAAGATTGCTTTAGCTATTCAGGGTCTTTTCTGGTTCCATACAAATTTTAGGATTATTTGTCCTAGCTCTGTGAAGAATGCTGTTGTTATTTTGATAGGTATTGTATTGAATATGTAGATTGCTTTGAGTAGTATTGACATTTTAACACTATTTGTTCTTCTTATACTGGTGCATGGAATATTTTTCCCTTTTTTTTTTTTTTTATATGTCTTCAATTTCTTTCATAAGCTTTCTATAGTTTGCAGTGTATAGGTTTTTTACCTCTTTGGTTAGATTTATTCCTAAGTATTTTATGGTTTTTGGTGCAATTGTAAATGGGATTGATTCCTTGATTTCACTTCCTCTTCATTGTTGGTGTATAGGAATGCAACCCATTTCTGTGTATTGATTTTATACCCTGCAACTTTGCTGAATTCATGAATCAGTTCTAGCACTTTTTTTGGTGGAATCTTTTGGGTTTTCCATATAGAGTATCATGCCATGTGCAAAGAGTGAAAGTTTGACCTCCTCCTGGCTGATTTGGGTGCCTTTTATTTCTTTGTGTTGTTTGATTGCAGCGGCTAAGATTTCCAATACTATGTTGAATAACAGTGGCAAGAGTGGACATCCCTGTCTTGCTCCTGACCTTAGGGGGAAAGCTCTCAGTTTTCCCCCATTGAGGATGATATTAGCATTGGGTCTTTCGTATATGGCTTTTATGATCTTGAGGTGTGATCCTTCTATCCCTACTTTCTTGAGGGTTTTTAATAAGAAAGGATGCTGTATTTTGTCCAATGCTTTCTCTGCATCTATGGAGAAGATCATATAGTTCTTGTCCTTTCTTTTATTGATGTGATGTATCACGTCGATTATTTTGTGGATATTGAACCAGCCCTGCACCCCAGGTATAAACCTCTTGGTCGTGGTGAGTAATTTTTTTAATGTACTGTTGGATCTGGTTGGCTAATATCTTGTTGAGGATTTTTGCATCCATGTTCATCAGGGAAATTGGTCTATAATTCTCCTTTTTAGTGTGGTCTCTGTCTGGTTTTGGAATCAAGGTAATGTTAGCTTCATAGAAAGAGTTTGGAAGTTTTCCTTCCATGTGTGGAACTAGCTTAATTTCCTTGGTATTGCAGTATTAAACCAAGATATCAGGAAATTGAAGAAGAAAAGACTTATAGCCAATTGTTATGTATAAGAGCTATCTAGAAGAATAGGGTCAATGAAAAATTATTTCTTATATTTTGCCAGTTGGGAATAAAAAATACATATTTTTAAAATTTTATGTAATTGTTGGCTAATTCTGTTTTCTTCCACAGAGTGAGCGTTTACAATCTGACCTAGTAGTATGCATTGTAATTGGTGTGCTGTATTTTGCTATTCATGTAAGCACGGTGTTCACAGTGTTGCAGGTAAGGAATCATTTTGATCTTTTGATTGGGGGAAAATAATTTTGTTTAGGCTAATTTTTTTATTATAATATTTGTCCATAATGCTGAAATATATGATGTTTTGTTTGGTTTTAATAACAAATATTTGTTTTCTCATGGTTTCTCTGAGTCGTGAATCTGATTATAATTGTAGCTCAGCTAGATGGTCCTAGTTCAGGATATGTTATGATGCTGCAGTTATTTGGGGCTGCCATCAACTGAGGCTGTTAGTAAGACTTAGTTCTTTACTGACCATTGGCCAGAGATCTAAGGTCCTTTCCATGTGCCCTTACCATTAGCTGCTTGAGTATCCACACAGAAGGGCAGCTGGTTTTCCCCAGAGCCAGTGATCCTAGAGAGAGAAAGCCCAAGACATCATTTAGTAATTGATGTCGGATGTGACATACCACCACTTTTCTCTGTATCGGTTGATCGTATGGGGCAACGCTGGTACAAGTTTCAGAAAAACTACATAATAAAACAGTGTAAAATGTTGACAGATTTTAGTTCTTACCTTCTCAAATTGACTTTGCTATTTTCTGTTAATAAGTAGAAATTGGACTGACACATTAGGAGTTCTATGGTTCTCAAAATCACTTTTAATTTTCTCAATTTTATTCTTCTTTTAGCCTGCTCTCAAGTATGTGTTATATGCATTGGTCGGCTTTGTAGGTTTTGTAACCCATTATGTGCTGCCTCAAGTTAGAAAACAGCTACCATGGCACTGTTTTTCTCACCCTCTGCTGAAGACAGTGGAGTATAATCAATACGAAGTTCGGAGTAAGTATTTCACTAATACTCCTCTGTTTAATATTGTGGATTTTTTTTTTTTTTTTTTTTTTTTACACTTTAACGGAGACCATTGAATAAGTATCATTAAGTAACACTGTGGCTTGTGTTTGTTATACTTAGATTTGAAGCTGTGATGAGTCAAACCTTTTTCAGGATGCTTTAATTTCAGTTGAAGTATAAATGTCAATGCTACAATCCCGGCTTCCACAGAATAAAATTTACTGCCTCTCTGTATTGTTCTTCCTAGACCTCTCATTGACAAATCCTTCTGTGCATGTTTGTGGCTTCTCTTTCCAGTCCTTACCCTTTCCTTAAATCTTTTCTGTGTACAGGCAACCCAGTCCTCCTTAAGATTTCTATTTGAAATATTTTTAGCTCAAAGCATAGGGGGAATAGAGAGAATTTTGTTCCTCTTTCCACCAGAGACACTATGTCCTACCAGAGAAGGGTATAAAAGAGTTGACGGGATGAAAAGAAGTTTAAAACATTTGTAATTGTTCTTGTTCAGATTTTGGGGTAAAGCATAAAATGACTCAGAAAGAGGTAGAAGGCCAGTCCACTTTAAATCCTAACTTGTCTTTCCTATTGTAAGTATTTGGTCTTTCTTCATTGGCCCCATGACTTGCAATATCCCATACTTGCTCGTTTTAGGGAAATAATAAAAGTTCATAACTATGTCATCATTCATTATATATCAATGATTAAACAAACCAGTGGTTTTTCCTCAAACCTTTTTTTCAGTTAATGAATTACTATAAAGAGTAAATTCCTCAATTGTTTGAAGATAAATTAACTTGTTTAGAGAACTCTGAAGACTTTGGAAGTTTTCTATTACAAACTTGACTTTGCATTTTCAAAGCAAATTTCTCGGGCCTTTTAGTAAAATTGCTTAGAGCATCATGGGACTGAAACCTTGGTCACCAGTTTGATCCTGAAGAGATAATGAAACATTAACCTGTAGGTTGCAGTAATGGCATTGTGCATACTTCTTATGTGTTCTTTTAATAAGGGAAAATGACATGGGGGACCTGGGTGGCTCAGTCGGTTGAGTGTCTGACACTTAATTTCGGTTCAGGTTATAATCTCATGATTGATGGGCTTAAACCCCGCGTCAGGCTCTGTGCTGACAGTGCGGGGCCTGCTTGGGATTCTCTCTCTCCCTCTCCCTCCGTGTGTGTCTGTCTCTCTCTCTCTCTCTCCCTTCCTTTCCCTTCCTCCTTCCTTGTCCCTCCTCTTCTCTCTCTCTCAAAATAAATAAACAAAAATTTAAAAAATTAAGAGAAAATGACATAAAGCTGTATGACAATCTGTACTGGTTCTTTCATACAGTCAGGAAAAGAACTTAGTAGAATGATGTATTATTTTTTTTTCTTTTTTCTTTTTTTTTTTTAAATTTTTTTTGAATGATATATTATTTTGATAGTGAACTGTTAGTATTGCTTTCATATATAAAAAATAGCAAACGTATCCAATTTGTTTTGAAGAGCAGTTTTCCTTACAGTAAGTCATTGATCATAATTATTTCTTTTTTGATCTTAACAAAATATTTAGTCTAAAGTTTTATAAATTTTGAATCAGTATAACATGTTTGACTTATTGAAAGCACTAGGTATTAGCAAAGTTTATTTCTTTCCCCTTCTATTGACTTTAGCAATGAAAAGAAAAAGATTATTCATTAGAGCATTTCCTGAAGCCAGCTATGTTTTCAGATAGCTAGAGAACCTTATTTTAAATCTTTCGGTTTATCCTAGATACTTTCCCCAATGAAATAAGGTGAAAGTATTATAAAAAACATTACTGACAGTGCAATGACTTCTATGAAGTGTGTGAATCTAAAACATGTACTTTCGTATATGTTCCAAGATGTACATAAGATACACACATACATATGCCCGTACACACACGTACTTTAAGATTTTAAAAACATAATTTTAGTAGGTCATTTATTTCTTTTTGGGAGAAAGGGCAGTCTCATAATCTTACTAACTTTTCTCCAGAAGTTATAGGCATAAATGAGAAAAAGTTATGGTTAAAAACTGAGGTTTCAAGAATTAAAATTTATTTATTTTTTTAATTTTTTTTAATGTTTATTTATTTTTGAGACAGACACAGCATGAGCAGGGAAGGGGCAGAGAGAGAGGGAGACACAGAATGTGAAGCAGGCTCCAGCCTCTGAGCTGTCAGCACAGAGCCCGACGCAGGGCTCGAACCCATGAACTGTGAGATCATGACCTGAGCCAAGAATTAAAATTTAAAAGGAAATTCATCTAAAAATTTTTTAAGTTTATTTAGAGAGGGAGAATGAGCGGGGGAAGGGCTAAGAGAAAGGGGATTCATATCATTCCAAGCAGGCTATCTGATGACAGCGCAGAGCCTGATGCAGGGCTCAAACTCACAAAGAGATCATGACCTGAGCTGAGATCAGAGCCACCTCGCGCCCCTCATCTAAATTTAAGTCACATCTAAGTTGCAAAACTGAACGTGTATCAGAATTCATAGAAGTTGACAACTGATTGAAATACTGGATTTCTTACATTATTTATTTATAGCACAGACAAGTTTGTGCTGTAAGATTTTCCTTTCACATCACTTTGCCAAACTATCGGCATACCTGGAAGATATTGCTGGTTTGGTTGTGGACCACTGCAATAAAGTGAATATCACAATAAAGCAAGACAAGTCAATTTTTTGGTGTCCCAATGCATATAAAAGCTATGTTTACCCTGTAGTCTAATAAGTGTGCCAAGAGCATTATGTCTAAAAAGACAGTGCACATACCTTTTTAAAAAAATTCTCTTGCCAAAAAATGGTGACCGTCATCTGAGCTTCCAGCGAGTTGTAATCCTTTTGCTAGTGGAGGCCCCCACCTCAGTGTTGATGGCTGCTGACTGATCAGGATGGTGGTTGCCAAAGGTTGGGGTGGCTGTGGCAATTTCTTAGAATAAGACAACAATGATGTCTGCTACATCAGTTGACTCCTTTTACGAGTGATTTCTCTGTAGCATGCTATTCGATAGTATTTTACCCACAGTGTAAGTAACTTCCTTCAAAATTGGAGTTCTCCAAAATCCTACACTGCTTTATCAACTATGTTTACGTAATATTCTAAACCCTTTGTTGTTATTTCAACAGTCTTCACAGCATCTTTACCAGGAGTAGATTCCATCTCATGACACCACTTTCTTTGTTCATCCGTGGGAGGCAGCTCCTCATCCATTCACGTTTTATCCTGAGACTGCAGCAGTTCAGTCCCATTTTCAGGCTCCACTGCTAATTCTAGGTCTCTTGCTATTTCTACCACATCTTCAGTGACTTTCTCCACTGCAGTCTTGAATCCTCAGGGTCATCCAGGAGTGTTGGAATCAACTTCCAAACTTCTGTTAATATTGATGTTTTGACCTCTTTCCACGAATTGCAAATGTCCTTAATGGCATCTAGAGTAGTGAATTCTTTCTGAAGGTTTTTCAGTTTGCTTTGCCCAGATCCATCAGAGGAATCAATGTCTATGGCAGCTATAGCCTTATAAAATGTATTTCTTAAATAAGACTTGAAAGTCAAAATTATTCCTTGAATCCCCATGGGCTACAGAATAGATGTTGTTTGCAGACACTGTCAATGAGCAGTTTTTTTTTAATTTTTTTAATTTATTTTTTTGAGAGAGAGAGATAGCAAGCTGGGAAGGGGCAGAGAGAGAGAGGGAAACACAGAATCTGAAGCAGGCTCCAGGCTCCGAGCTGTCTGTCAGCACAGAGCCTGACATGGGGCTGGAACTCACGAACTGTGAGGTCATAACCTGAGCCTAAGTTGGACACTTAACTGACTGAGCTGCCCAGGTGTACCCCAACGAACAGTAGTATTTTGAAAGGAATCTCTTTTTCTGAGCAGTAGGCCTCAACATTGGACTTAAAATATTCAGTAGACTATGTCATGAATAAATGTGTCATCCATGCTTTGTTGTTTCACTTGGAGAGCACAGGTACAGTAGATTTAGCATCATTCTGAAGGGCCCTAGGATTTTCACAATGGTCAGTGAGCATTGGCGTCAACTTAGAGTTATCAGCTGCTTTGTAGCCAGGCATTGACTTCTCTCTAGCTATGAAAGTCCTAGATGACATCTTCTTCCAATAAAAGGCTATTTCATCCACATTGAAAATCTGTTGGTTACTGGAGCCACCTTCATGAATTATCTTAGCTGGATCTTCTGGAGAACTTGCTGCAGCTTCTACATATGCACTTGCTGTCTCACCTTGCACTTTCATGTTGTGGAGATGGCTTCTTTCCTTAAACTTCCTGAACCGACCTCTGCTGGCTTCAGACTTTTCTTCTGCAGCTTCGTCACCTCTCAGCCATCCCAGAATTGCAGAGCGTTAGGACCTTGCTCTGGATTAAGTTTTGGCTTAAGGGAATGCTGTGGCTAGTTTGATCTTCTATGCAGACCACGCAGACTTTCTCCATGTCAGCAATAAAGCTGTACTTTCTTATCATTCGTACGTTCACTGGAGCAGCACTTTTAATTTGCTCCAAGAACTTTTCCTTTGCAGTCACAACTTGGCTAACGCTTGGCACAAGAGGCCTAGCTTTTGGCCTGTCTTGGCTTTCAACACGCCTTCCTCATGAAACTTAATAATTTCTAGCCTGTGGTTTAAAATGAGAGATGTGTGATTCTTCCTTTCACTTGAACATTTAAAGAGCATTGTAGAGTGATTGGCCTAATTTTAATCATAAGGAATAGAGAGGCCCAAAAGGAGGGAGAGAGGTGGGGGAACAGTGGATCAGTGGAGCAGTCAGAACACACACATTTATTGGTTACGTTTGCCATCTTACATTGGTCCAGTTTTCGTTATCCCCAAATACAACAATAGCATCAAAGGTCACTGATCATAGATCACTGTAACAAATACAATTATATGAAAAAGTTTTAAATATTGCAAGAATTACCAAAATGTGACAGATGCTGTTGGAAAAGGGTGCTGATAGACGTGCTCAGTGCAGAGTTGCCACAGACCTTCAATTTGTAAACAAAGAAAAAAAACAAAAAGAACCCCAGTATCTGCCAAGTGCTGTAAAGTAAAGCTCAATAAAATGAGGTATGCCTGTATGTTGTACACTAGATGATGTGATCTTCTTATATTGCCTTGTTAGATGCAGCCACTATGATGTGGTTTGAGAAACTTCATGTGTGGCTTCTTTTTGTGGAGAAGAATATCATCTACCCATTGATTGTTCTTAATGAACTTAGTAGCAGTGCAGAGACCATTGCTAGTCCAAAAAAACTGGATACAGAGTAAGTACAGTCCTCCTCTCATCTATGTTCAACCACTAGCGGCTGTCATAGGCAGTGTCTTCAGACATTGATCAAGTAACAAATAATTGTCTCATTAGTGCAGTGCAGTGTAAGACAAAAAAGTGAGGTGAAATTCCTGAACATCTGTTCCTGCTCTTGTATATCACTACTCTAGACATCTTGTTGTCAACTAATATTTTATGAGAGAACATTTATTGAATAAGGTTCATTTCTGTTATTAGATGGTCAATTTGAGAGATGTCTGTTTTTGTGTACTGTGTAAACCAGACTATGTAGGTGGTCAGTCGCCTATACCGTCATCGTATAGGCCTCCACACTAGACTAGGTACGTGTTGTTGGGTAAGCGTTAATACATGTTTTTTATGTGCTAAATGCTATTACTATTAAAGCAATACAAATATTAAGAAACTGGAGAACCATATATTAGAAATGCAATGCTGTTATTTATTTTTTTAAGTGTGCTTATTTATATAAAGAAATAAGAATCATAATACATATTGTTAAAAGGGAATATAAGAGTTTATTTTAGGATGTGATTTGCTTGGTGTATAAATCATTTTTAGAAGTTCACTTTGGATGTAAATGTATCGTAAGCATAGTAAATGAAATAGTGATTTTTCTGAAGTTAGTAGATTTTCTGAAGTTTTCAGCCATTGATTGATGAGTTGTGCTTTCTTTAACTTATAGATTAGGTGCTTTAATGATCACCATTGCTGGTCTGAAGTTGCTACGATCCTCTTTCAGCAGCCCTACATATCAGTATGTCACAGTCCTCTTCACTGTGCTCTTTTTCAAAATCGACTATGAAGCGTTTTCAGAGACCATGTTGTTGGATCTCTTCTTCATGTCTATACTCTTCAACAAGGTAATTTGTCACTGAAAGGAATATCCCTATCGGTAAAAAGTAGCTCCCTAAGTAATATAGCATTTAGTGAGGGTTCTGCTTGCATTCCATTTGCTTCACTGTCTTTTAAGTAATATCTTTCTTCAGTCAACCAGTCATTTAGAAGCATAGTAGAATCCCTAACCAATGTTAACTCACTATGATCCATAAAAGACGTGTTTCTTGCTATATAGCTAGGAAGATAAGATTAAGTTATAAAGAAAATTTAGAGAAACACCACTAGCTGTGTATTTTTAAATCCATAGGATCTTCCAAAAGTGGATGTGGTTTTGAATAATCCTAGAAATAGATGTTGTAATAATTGCACTGGGCTGTGGGCTGCTAGATAGATGGAGGGAGGAAATAACCTGATAGCTGAATGAAGATGGTAAATACTGAAGGCAGTGAGGCCGTGTGGGAGGAATCAGAAATTAGTTTCATGGTGACATTTGCAGAATACTCTGAAAATTACAAAATGCTTCTGAGATTTATTATCCACCCATAAGAGAGGTACTTTTAGTCCTTTTACAAATGAGATGACAAAATCTGGGTCTTCTGCCTCCCATTCCAAGAATCTTTTTACTGAACCATACTACCTTTCTCAATGAAATAAGTTGTGCAATCAGATTATTTATAAATTAAATAGAGTTTAGATTTCATGTTAACGCTGACCACATACAAAGGACTTTGACATATATTATCCCATTTGATAGGTAACAGAGAGCTGAAGCATATGAGCAGCTACAAAACACAATGAAAGCCCAATTTTAGGCAAGTTAGCCTGGTCAGCTACATTGGGATGACTTGGGGAAGAGAGAACCCAAAGGTATGGAGAACAGTTTAAGAGACTGTGACAGTAATTGAGATGTGATAGAGGTCTAACCTAGGATGGGAATAGTACAAGTGGAAAACGTTAATCTGAACAGGTTTTAGTGATAGTCCATTTCAAAATATTGTGCTAAATGTTGTACTAAGTAGCTTCTAGAATATTGCAGTATTATGTTTGCTCGGTCACTAATTTGTATGCATTTTTATCATTTATTTCCTCTTCTAGTGAGCATGGTTAACCAAAGGAGGAAGCCAGAAAGTTAATCAAAGAATTGTTTGTATAAAGAAGCATGTGGTTTCTCACAAATTTAAATATTTAGACTGGAAATTGTAGGGCATTTTAGTATACTGTTGGGGGAAAAAGTGAAAGTTGCAATAAAATAGAAACAGTCTTTGAAATAGTCTTAACTTGAATTAGTTTGGATTTTCTTAATACTTTAATTTGTTAAGCAAATTGCTCTTGAGAGCATACAGTGTTCCACAGCTGTTCTAGATGCTGAGGCTACATCAGTGAACAAAATAGAGAAAGCTCTGCCCTTAAGGGGTTTGCATTAGTAAGGTTAGTTGATAGAATTTAACAATGATAGTAAGCAAGTAATTTTTAAGAGATTTCTAGATATAGTTTTTAAGATATCATTGTAAGATGCACCATCAATTTAATAATCTTACAAGAAAAAAATTACTATGAATGTATACAGAAATTTTTATCCACTACCCACTTATCCATGTAATTGCATATCATTTTTTCCTCAGTGTTACAGTCAAAATTTGAGTTCAGTCTGTTTCATATTTAGAATCTGAAGTTTTCTGAATCACTGCTTTTAGACCATGAATAATGGCATCTTGATAATACACACACTGCTTTTACTTCCTGACATCCTGATCACGTTAGTATCAAGGATTACCGGCATAAATTTGAGTCACGGAGAAGAATGCAGGAGTTCATCTGCTTTTTCTAATTGGTTGAAGTTGAGGTTTCTTTGTTTTTAATTGGGAGTTAAACAGGTTCATTTGCAAATTAACTGAAATCGGTCAGTTAATTGAGGTGCTTGATGCCTGAATCATGGCACCAAGTTAGTCTGAACCTCTTGTTTTTAAGATTCTGTGTCTGTTTTGTGAATTGGACCTTGCATTGCCTGCCATGCAGAGGCAATTTTGGACAAACACAGTAATTCTGTTTCAGTGTTGAAGACATGTTCAACAACAAAACAAATACTAATTTACATAAAATTAAAACATGTGTTGTGTTTCCATTGACCATACCAATTGAGGTTATGATCAGGTGCCTAATATGCACTACTAAATCCTTAGGCGAATAGGCAGTGACAACTGTATTACAACTTTATTTCCTGCCTGGCTGGTTTCAAATTTCTTCTGACATTGCATTTAAAACATACTCTGTTTCCAAAGCACTACAATTTGAGGAGAATGTGTCTTAGGGATAAAAATATGTATGAATTACTTAAGCTTTGCAAACATCTAAATGTCCTACCTTTTTTTAATTTTGCTTGTAATAGTAGTAATATAGCCAATAGAGGGCATAGAATTTTTTTTAACAGATGAAACACAAATCCATAAATCAGCTAGCTGTCTTTACTTAAGTATATATTCAGTGTTTTGGCAGTTGATTTATCTTTTCCTTTTATGCAAATGGCAAATATTTTCAGTGCCATTTTCTTATAGGAAAAAATATATTTTAAAGGTCTTTCATTTTCTAATTCAAATATCTGATAAGTTTTTTACTGATTGTTTTTCTTTTCCTCCTACAGCTTTGGGAACTCCTTTATAAATTGCAGTTTGTGTACACTTACATTGCCCCATGGCAAATTACATGGGGTTCTGCTTTCCATGCTTTTGCTCAGCCCTTTGCAGTACCCCGTATCCTTCCAATAAAAGTTGTATAAGAAAGGGTGGTCATATCCTTATTGTGAATGTTGGTTTATAGACATTTAAATTACTAGGTGATAAATTATCAAATATTCTCAGTGCTTTGGGTGCACCCACAGATCATCTGAACATGAGGACAGTATTAAAGTTTTATAATTAATGCTGATTTAAAATTTTATGTTTACAGATATGAGTACTTTTAATAAATACAAGATGTTTAGAAATATTTTTTAAATACTTAGAGAAAGAGAGAGAGAGAGATAAAATATATCCCAAGCAGGCTCCGCACTGTCAGTACAAAGCCTCATGCGGGACTTGAACCCACGTGAGATCATTACCTGAACCAAAACTAACAGCAGACGCTTAACTGACTGAGCCACCCAGGCACCCCTAGAAATATTTTTAAATGAAGATTCCAAACATTTTTCATAATCATGATTGTAATTTAACTATGTCTAAAATTTTCTAATCTCATCATTTCTTAAAAGTACTTTCTAAATAAAAGTAAAGGTTAGTGACTATGTGGATAGAAAGACAGATTTTCTGTTTGTGTAAATTTTAGTTTTATCTTGTGGAAAATTAAAGCCAGCATCTTTATCCCAGGGTAATATATGGACTTTTCCCAAATATGTATTAGCAGATGTTTATTTGATTCCCTTCAAAGCATCATGCCAGGCTGTACTATCCTGGCTTGTCTTCCTACTTGTACCCCTTATATTGTCCAGTGACACCCTCTTTTGTATTCCTGTGACAAACTTCACATTGTTTTCATTGCGGTAATGGCAATGTGTTTGTGAGATGTATTTGTGTGTGTGTGCATGCTCACTCAAATGAATGTTAAAGTCCTTAACCAGCTTTTTATAGATTCAGCCATGTTGTTTGTTCAGGCTGCTGTATCGGCCTTTTTTTCTACTCCACTAAATCCCTTTCTAGGAAGTGCAATATTCATCACTTCGTATGTTCGACCTGTCAAATTCTGGGAGAGAGACTATAAGTGAGTACAACAAAGCATTTGAAAGCCAATCTTATCTATTTTTTACTAGGAAAAACTATCAACAGCATTATCATAAATATTTCATGGTTAATAATTTTTGTGTTGAAATATTTTGCTAAAACTTTATAAATACTCTTGAAGTTTCAAAATCACATAAAATTAGAAGAGTCAGAGTAACTGTTCTATATTTTCTCTGCCATTTTTCCTGAGATTTTTTAAAAACCTAGTTCTTGGTGAATATATTCCTTTTTCTGTCTTTTTTCTTTTAATGCTATTTCTTAGAGTTCCACATTAATACAGCTCTGAAACTTTATGCTATACAATGTTATGTCATTATAGCAGTCATAACTAGTTATAGTTTCCTGAGAAATATCTATTTGTAGAGCTAAATTTTCTATAGATTACATCTGGTTTCTCATGAGCAGAACTTTTTAATGACCATCTCTGTGCATAAAGTATTTTCTCCATTTAGATTTAGTTTCTTTGGCTAGCTGTTTCATCTGATGCCTGCTAACTATCCTTATGTGTAATCTCTCCAAACTTCCTTCCTTCCTTCCTTCCTTCCTTCCTTCCTTCCTTCCTTCCTTCCTTCCTCCCTCCCTCCCTCCCTCCCTCCCTCCCTCCCTTCCTTTTGGAAAGATTATCCAAAAGAGGAATTACTGAGTCACGGAACCTAAACATTTTAAAGGCGTTTAACATGTATTGACATTGATTCAAAAAGAGCTTATACTAATTTGTAATTCTATGGGCCATCTCCATGACTGCCTCTTTTCTCTCTACACTTTCACACATCAGTGCACCTAATAGGTGAAAATAGTGGTCTCACCTTTTAAACAGTGGAATAGCTTGTGGATTGGAAGCTTTTGCTCTGGTCTTTTATCTAAAACCACACTTGGTGTTTCTCTTTTTGATGAATTTCTGTGTTACTGATGTTCTCAGGTTATTTAATTTTGGTCCAAAATATTGTCTGTGGCAGCAGTTTTGGTCTCAGAACCCCTTTACTCTCTTCACGGTTATTGAAATGTCAGGAGTTTTTGTTGACACAGGATTTATCTACAGATACTTAATGTGTTAGAAATCAAAACTCAGAAAAATTCAAATGTTTATTAATTAGTTTAAAAATAGCAACGATAAACCCATTATGTGTTAATATAAATAACAGTTTTTAATGAAAATTACTGTAATTTCTATACCAGCAAAAAAATCAGTGAGAAGAGTGTCACTGTTTTTGTAGTTTTATAAATCTCTTTAATGTCTGGCTCAGTAAAAGACAGCTGGATTCTCATAACTGCTTCTGCAACCAATCTGTTGTTGCAATATGTTGTTTTGGTTGAATTATATGGAGAAAATCTGGCCTCGCACAGACACAGAGCTGGAAAAGAAAGAAGTATTTTAATAGCCTTTTTAAACAATTGTGGATATTTCTCTTTGATCTTTCACTAGAAGTCGACACATGGTAGTTTCCTAAAGATTAGTTGCAATATGGAGTCTTAAAACCATATCTGTTGTTGGGGAAGAAGAATTTCCTCTACCCTTCAAGATCCTTCTAGCTCAACTAAGAATCAAATTGACATGAGACAGATGAACAGGAGGAAATAAATTTAATAGTGTGCATATGTGGAATCCACACAGATGTGGAAATTCCAGAGACATGTAACGTGATACTTACATGAGCTAAGGAGAGAGGTAAGGGTCTTAGGATACAAAGGGGAGAAGATCATTAATAAGAAGGTGAAAGGAGGTGTAAGGAATGTGTTTGTTGGTAAGCTCTCAAACTCATTGTAGTAAATATACATTTTCCCAAATTCTGATTTTTGCTGAAAAACTTGAATTTTGTTATTGGCAACAGGACAGACTCACTTTCTTCATTTTTGAGAAATGTCTGTCAAGTATGCAAGTCTGAATAATCACAGTAAAAATGATGTTCCATGAAAAAAAAAAAGTACCAAGTGCAGCTTGCAATTCAAACAGTGGCACAAATGCAATCCCTTGAGACAACCATCACACAATATGAAAAAGACATACTGAGGAGGTGTGATTTAATAAAACTAATTTTTTTTATTGCTTCATTAAAGACATTTTCAATTCAAATGTGAATTTTTGTTTTATTTTTTTCTTGTGCATGTGTGGCAGTAAAAAATACAGTTTGATACCACTGCTTTGATTCAAGTTGAAGTGCTGGTAGTTATACCCACCGTTACTTTTGCACCATCAGTACACTTGTCGACATGGTGAAAAAAGTCAGTAACAGCTCAAGATTGTTATGAAAATCATTTTGATCTGGAAAACTGCCTGAAAGGGTCTTGAGGCCCCTGCTTCCAGTTCTGTGGACCACATTTTAGGAACGACTGTTCTAAAGAACACTGTACCATTGGATATTAATAGATGTACCTTCCCCTTGCAAAAATGTTTCATGCACTGTATATCTCTAAGAACTATATATGGTACACATTTTTAATCAATTTTTTTTTTTTGCATTAAACTCATTAATGTCTTTCTACCCACTGTTCAATTTAACATGTTAGGAGATAACTGCTGTGTTTATGTATAATGAAGGTGGGAGAGTAAAAAACCTTACCCCTAAACTACACTACTGAGGAGTTTTAGCAATATGCCAATCATAGATTTTTCTCAGAGATATACATAAAGTGATAATACTTAACTTCAATTATATGGTTTTCTCCTTTCTAATTAAGGCTTAGTAAAAATGTTGTTTTGCCCTCTTCAGCACAAAACGAGTGGATCATTCGAATACCAGATTGGCTTCCCAGCTTGATAGAAATCCAGGTAAAAGTTCCATTTGTGAGTAAAGAAGCAAGTCTAAGAAATGTGTTACTTATGTATATTTTGCTTCCTAACTGATCGGGAATCCTCTGTCAGTTCCAAATTGTCATTTTTCAAAGACTATCAGTAAAACCTTGGTGTGTGAGCATAATTCATTCCAGAAACATGCTTGTGATCCAAAGCACTTGTATATCAGAGTGAATTTCAAGAACCATTGGCTCAGTTGTGATCATGTGACATTTGGCGTCATGTACTGCTTATATTGTAAGACATCTCTCGTTTATCAAGTTAAAATTTATTAGAAATGTTTGCTCGTCTTGTGGACTACTCGCAGAATAAGTTACTCATGGTCCAAGGTTTTACTGTCTATCCTTTGCTTTTTGTTCTGCTTTAGCAAAGTATATGTGAATTCGAGTATCTACAATGTATATACCCATCTTTTATAAAGTGCACTTTAAGAATGCTCAGAGGAATTAAAAATGCCATTGAAAGATATTGTCTTCCAGAGGTTAAAAAGTAGAACAGTTAAACTGGTCAAGTGTATCAAAGAATATGCAATCTGACCAATAGGTATATTTATTAATATATTTGCTTCCCCTGCTTCCCTGAATATTTAGGTAAATATTCATTTAATTTCATTTAGTTTATTGTGTATAAAGATGTCATGTGAGGGAACCATTCAAGACAGAGCTTCAGTACGTGGTATTTGGGTGGTGGTACCATTATCTAAAGTCTGGCTCCTTAGTTTTGTCATTGGGGAAACATCCTTTTGTCAGCCCACCTGTTAGTAATTGGACACATAGAGGGTGAATCTCACTAATCCAACTGTAAGAAATTAACCAGAATTCCAATGTATTAATTTAATAAAAGAAATCTAACTCAAAGGTAGACTGAAGTGTTTGTATCCATTTGACTCTCAGATTCCTTCAAATACTCTGTCTACTTGAGAAACCTAATTAATAATCAAATGGTTTTTGTTAACTCTAAAATTGGATTACGTAGGACTAGTTACTTGATAATAACGACTGTTGTCACCACATACTGGTAGATAAAACAGCCATCTCAGCTCTATGTGCTTGGAATGTGTCCTTGTGTAAGGGGCTTGGAATTCTTATGATGCAAATGATGCCATTGTGTATGTTAAAAAAGGCCAAATCCTGAATTAATATGCATGCTTTTTTTTAACTTTAAAAAAATGTTTTAAAGATTTTATATTATTTTTAAAGTTTATTTATTTATTTTGAAAGAGACAGAGCACGAGCAGGGGAGGGGCAGAGAGAGAGAGAGAGTCCCAAGCAGGCTCCATGCTCAGTGAGGAGCCCCGATGCAGGGCTCAGTCCCACCTGAGGTGATGTCAAGAATTTGGGGCTCAGCTGACTGAGCCACCAGGCACCCCTGTAACTCTAAATTCTGAACCTCTTCTCATGACCCTGTTTCATTCTTAAATAGAAATTGTTAGGGTATTAATATTATTTTTCTTGTCAAAAAAAATTTCCCTAACTAGAAATTAGCTTTAATATTTTTAACAATCTTGTTGACGTGACAGAGATGTAGGGTAAAGTGTAACATTTTTAATCCCTTCTTACAGGATCAGATGACAACAATCTGAATTCCATCTTTTATGAACATTTAACCAGATCCCTACAACACAGTCTCTGTGGTGATTTGCTCCTAGGACGGTGGGGAAACTACAGTACGGGGGACTGTTTCATTCTTGCCTCTGACTACCTCAATGCATTAGTACACCTTATAGAGATAGGCAACGGGCTAGTCACTTTCCAGCTGCGGGGACTTGAATTCAGAGGTAAGACATTCACCTCTTATTTCTATTGGGTTTTATGTGTTTACATCTCAGATCAAAAATCAGCATAAAATTAGATCCTTAGTCTTTGGAATTGTGGAATGAAAAGAGTTGTTAAAAGAACAATTTTTAGATACTCTTCCAAATTTCACATTTAGAGAAGAATCTTTTTTTTTCAAGTTTGTTTATTTATTTTGAGAGAGAAAGAGAGATGCACATAAGCACAAGTAGGGGAGAGGCAGAGAGAGAAACCTAAGCAGGCTCCACTCTGTCAGTGGAGAACCCCAATGCAGGACTCGAACTCATGAACCATGAGATCATGCCCTAAGCCAAAATCGAGAGTTAGATGCTTAACCAACTGAGCCACCTGGGTGCCCCAGAGAAGAATCATTTTTGTGGTATGCCAAAATATGTAAAGGTAGCATCATTTGTGTATAACCGACTATGTTCCTGGTGATGTTGAGTTTCTGTTGCTTTCTGCTTGCTGTCTTGTCATTTTCTTTGTGAGAAGTTGCATATATTTGTTAGATGGCTAGCAGCATCTAGAATGCTGTATTGTGTGAGGCATAGAGTAGCCAACCAGGTACTTTCAGGTAGACACCATGCCTTTGTCCTCAACAAATGTTTGTTTTGAAGTGAAGCTCCCATAACATCAAAACAGTTTTAAAGGGAACAAGTCAATGGCATTTAGTGCATTCACAGTGTTGTACCACTATTAGAGTAGGCAGTTGGTTAGGTTCAAGCAGGATGCCTGGAGGTCAGTAAAGAAGAAGACAGGGCTGGCTGTCTGGAAAGTCAGAGGCCTGTCCTGACAGGATCTCAAAACAAAGCTACAAGAAGCCCGAACAAACCAGATAGGCCCAAGATGGCTGACAAAATAGGCCAGTGACCCCTGACCAAATATGAAAAAAAAGTGTGAAACCTTGCTTTCAAGAAAACCCCACCTCAAGTAATGAATATTCCTCCCCCAAGTTAACACCTGTCATTAAGTGATAGAAACCCAACCCCCTGCAGGTGCAGGTCTCTTGGCTCGTTCTCTCTCTGTCTCTCTGTCTTGCGTTTGCCCACTCAAATCTCATGAGTGTACTTCTGCTTTAATGAACTTTCTTGTGTTGCTCATCTGCTGTGTTGTGCCTGTCCTCGAATTCTTTGTGGTGACAAGACCAAGAGCCTTCAGCCACATCTTTGGGACATGTTGGGTTGAGGCCTCAGGACCTGGAGTCTCCCCGTTTCATCCATCTAGACAACCATCACCTCTGTCTTGTTCAAAGCATTGTCATCACCACAAATAAAACCTCACATCCATTAAGCTGTTACTCCCTATTCCCCTACCAGCCCTCAACAATTTTGTATAATGACACATGAAGCTGTTTCTACACAGAAAATCATGTGTTCAGAAACATACCAACTTGATGTTATCAACTGCTATAAGTTGAATATTTTGTAAACATGAATAGAAACTTGTTTTATAGGAATTGAGGAAAGTCATATTAATGTGTAGCTTTTCAATCTAGGGAACATTTGAACTTGAGAGTTTTTAGAGAGAACATCCAAGCTGTGTTTTGATCTACTCTAAGAAGTGCCTTGCATGCTTTTGACTTGAAATGGGAAATAAGAAAGCATTTGACTAGATAGAGGATCAAATCAGGTTTATACCCTATAGCTTTATTTCTACCCTGGTATTGAATCAGAAGGTTTGGACCTTTGTTAGGTAATATCTTTGCTAATGGAGCAAGTGCTTTTCTAAAATTATTCCATTCACTGAAAGTAAGATTGTACTTGTGTGACACTCGAATTAAGGCACTAAATGTTGATGTTTGTTATTCATTTATGATGTATGTTATCCAATCTCTCTCTTTCAAAATGTCCTATTCTTGTTTTATGATTTGTTTCTGCCTCTCCAACAGAGCCCAAGACCTTAATTCCATCTCTCTCGAGTCTTATCTAATGTTCAGAACTAACCCAACTAAACTCATCCAAAAGTCAGCACCCCCTCACCACGACACCTACTACTGCCATGACCTTAACTTTTTAAAAAGAATTCACCTTTCTTTTTTAACTTTTTTGTTTTTTTAAACAAATGTGTATGGGGAGGATATTTTATCTAGCATTTCTGTATGTGTGAGTCAGAAGGGGGTCCTTCTTAGGATCTGCTAATTTCACCATAGTGGTCAGAAACTCTCCAAATCAGAAATTGATCCAAATTCTCACTCTTCCAACTTTCACTCTCTGGTACCAAGTAGATTCAAATAAAATTTTGGGCAGATTTTTTACCATTCAGACTCTATTTGCCAAATAAAACTCAAACTTATGTGAGAACATAGTATGTCTTACCATCTGAATTTGTGCTGGATTTGGATAGCAAGAGATACCTATAATTCTTTACTCAGCCATAGTGATTTTTTAAAAATGCTTATTTATTTGGGGGGAGGGAAGAGAGAGAGAGAGGGAGAGAGAGAATCCCAAGCAGGCTTCACGCTGGCAGACACAGGGCTCGATATCATGAACTGTGAGATCATGACCTGGGCCGGTATCAGGAGTCGGACACTCAACTGACCGAGTCACCTAGGTGCCCCAGTGATTTTTTCTCTACAGGCAAATTTGATCATATCCCTTTCAGACCTAAAATTTTCAGCGGCTTTCCATTGCATTTAAAATAGAGTTCATATCCTTAGCATGCCCTACCACACTGTTTGTTATCTGGCTTTGCCAGTTTCTCCAACCCCACTTTATCCCACCGTCCTCACTCACTCTAGTCACACTGGCCTTGCCTTCAGGGTCTTAACTGTGCTGTTCTTTACTAAGGAATTTTTACTGCCTTTCCTTTTGCCCAAAACGTACCAGCCATCCCCCCTCCTCCCACCAGTCTTCCACCTGGCTAATTCCTTAATTATCTTTAAGCATTAACCTAAATATCACTTTCTCAGAGAAGCCTTCTCTAAACACCTAGCCCACATGATTGTCTCATGTTGCCATTTATACCTCCTTAGCACTCAGCATAATTATAATTTCATACTTATTTGTGTTTGTTTGAGGTGTATTTCTCCTTTAGCCCAGAGGTGGCAAACTTTTCTGTAAAAAGCCGGATAGTAAATAGTTTGGGCTTTTGGAAGCATGCACATTTTCTGTTGCATATTTTTATTTGATTTTTTTTTTTTAAACAATGCTTGAAAAACAAAAACCATTCTTAGTTTGGATTTGGCCCTGGGCTGTATTTTGCAAACCTTTGCAGTAGGTTGTAAGCTCCTCAAGAGCAGGAATCTTGTCTGCTGTATTCATTACTGTGTATCCAGTACTTACTTCAGCAGTTAGCATATAATACATAATTAATTTTGTAGAATGATTGAGTAAGTATATAGCTGTTTCTCCTTTCTTTTTATTCCAGAATTCTCATGAGGTCTGTTTATATTCTTGCCTATATCTTGTGATCTTTGGTTATTTTCTTTCCTTCACAGTGTTATCCCCTGTCCCAACTACCTACTGCCTCTCAAAATACTAATCAAGAGTGTCAGTATTTTGCCAAAAAGATATTTGGATCTGCTGAGCATTTTGATGTATCTTCTGGGTATAGTCCATTAAGCCAATTTAATTCCTTGATTTTACTGTGTCTTGCAGTGGATTCTAAATATTAAGTGACATTCAACTAAACAGATTTCTTGATCAGTTTGCTATACATCTTGGTTAAATCCCTTTATATTTATTTCATTTCCATTTTTATTTTACTGATATTCTTAATATTCTTTTCCATGTAAATTTTATGTCAAAGATTTATCAATCATTTTTTTGTCTACCAAAATTTTATTATTATAACTTCTACAGTGTTAACTTTTTATTTGTAAATGTTACTTCTGCCAAGCACAGTTTTCCGGGTCAAACTTTATAGGTCAAAAATGTATTATGTTAATGGGATTCCTCTCGGTTTTTACTTAAATTACTTTTGACATGTCTGTTTTTCATAATTGCCAGTTTTATTTAATTTCATCAGTAATATTCACTATGAAGTGACTGAAAGACATAGCTAATCCAGGAAATAATTGGTAATGGGTTCCTTATAACGTATTCTGGAATCCCTTTCCAGGTCTCAGTGTTCTTTTTTTCAGTTGCTAGTATTAATTCCTATGTTTTTTAATGACTTTATTTTCTAAGCCAAATGTATTACCAGGGTATGTTGGGGTAGGAACTGTTCTTGGGATTTGTATGGTAGAGTAAAAACACCCCCCATTAATGCAGTTACTCAGTTCACTTTATTCTGCTGCTCTGAACAAGGGTCTCATTCTGTCTCCTCAATAAATGTCAGCATCTCCAAGTTCCCTCTTGCCATGTGTCTTTTCTATATACTGCTCACAAAGTGATCTGCACAGAGTAGAGCTGTCTTTCATTGTGTCTCTCCTTTACTTAAAAACCTTTGGTCTAGTCAGACCTTCCAGAAAGATGACAAAATGAATAAAATGAAGTAATAACATAAAATCTAAGGAACAGACCCAGCTTCATGCCACACTTTTAAAATGCCGGTCTCAGGATGTTTCTTCTAGAAACTGAATTATTCTTTGCCCTCTCTATCCTATTCTGGCACATGGAAAAAGGAGAATTTCTCCAGGCTTGTTACAAAGCCAGTGTAATACTGATAACAAAATACAACTACACTGACTAAAAAAGTAACTAGTTTAACCCACATGTGGCCATAGATGCAAAATTTTTCAGAACCCAGAATCAGCAGAAACCAGGAGTTCCTTTTTTCAGGTTCCTTTTCCTAGTTGAGTCATTTTCATTTTTTAAATTAAGTATTAGAAAGCAAATTAATAGAATTCATCTTTTAATAGGTTATAGGAGAAGACAATAAAATACGATGTTCCAGAAGATGCTAGGAGACTTTTGATTGAATTTCATTTCCTTTATTGGTCTGAAAAATACTTCCTAAAATCACACACATCCTTATTCTGAAAAGGGAAAAAAAAAAGTTTGTGAATATAGATCTGTAGTCATGAGCGTGTGTGGTGGTCAGCTGCAGCAGACGTTCCTGTTAATGTCAGGTTCAAGCCAGGGTTTTTCTTTTTACCACAGTGTGACATTGTTCCGGAAGTACTCAGCAATGTACTTGAGTAAGAAATGAAACAGCAGAGCTGTTCAGAGTTCTAGAGTGATAAACAACATGGCTCTTGAGCCCTGTCCCAGCCTACCTCTTCAGCCTTATCGTTCACACCACCACCAACACCAACAAAAACCACCACCACCACCCGGGTTGGTTTTCATGGCATCTGTTTCTCTCAGAGCAGTGTTTTTCAAACCTGGATGGTGTATATGTTCTCTTTAAAGAAAAAAATTATTGTAAAGTCTCATATAAGTTATTTAGCCTAAATATGTGCCTTTGTAAAATTATGTGTAATCCCCTTATAATTATTATATAAGGAATTGACTAATTAAGTGGAAGCAAGACCACAGAACAAGATAAGATAAAAATTAACATCAGTGTGACAGGTGATATCTTATTGGCACTAGATTGCTGTGGGTGTAATTGTGTATTCCAATTTTGTATTTTCCCTTCAGTAACACTAATGCAGGAAATGCCTGTTTGGTATCTTGTATAAAAGAATGTAACTTCAAAGAATTGTTTGCTAGTGCTAAATAATCAGATCTCCTAACTAATTAAATTTTATCAGCAGATAAGCTTCAAATGCCAATAATATAATTTTAACCAATTATTGTTGGAATTGGCAGCAGAAAAATTATGTATTTAAGATTAAATTATCATGAACCTTTACAGTTTATATATCCAAATAAGCAGGATGTACATAATATTCCTGCTTGCAGTATGGACATGATACTGAAAAACAGAGCTCAGATTCTTTTGAGTTCTGCATGTCTGGCTATATTGTGTGCCCTGTGACGATTTACTTCTAATTCAGTCCTTCCCTTATTGAATTAACTCAAACCTTCATGAGATGTCCTTTTACTCATTGGCCTTCATTTGACATAAATGCTATTGTAAACCCAAATTTGAAAAGTTTGGGATCAGTGAATCAAAATTAAGAAGGTTACTGCGCAAATTTTCAGAACCTTCAATGCACTAATGCATGTTGTGATTGTTCAGGAAATGAATATATGATATGTCTACTTTCTGGAGCTTCCTGCAGTTTGTTAATGAACATTCCAGGGCAAATCAGTCACATACTTTCAATTACTATAAAAGGTGTCTTTTTTCTAAATTTCTTGTGTCTTTGAAGCATTTATTTTTCTACTTCATATTTTTTTTTTCTCCTTTGTATTCACTCGTGTCTCTCTCTCTCTCTCTCTCTCTCTCTCTCTCTCATTCTCTTTAAGGTACTTACTGTCAACAACGGGAAGTAGAGGCCATTACTGAAGGCGTTGAAGAAGATGAAGGATTTTGCTGTTGTGAACCTGGTCATATTCCTCATGTGCTTTCATTTAATGCTGCATTTAGCCAGCGCTGGCTAGCTTGGGAAGTGATAGTCACTAAGTATATTCTGGAGGGGTATAGCATCACTGACAATAGTGCTGCTTCTATGCTTCAAGTCTTTGATCTTCGGAAAGTACTCACCACTTACTATGTCAAGGTAAGGGAATGTGCCTCATTAGATCTTCTGATAGTTGGAAGTTTTTCTTGGGAAAGACTTATGTATATTTTTTGTACCTGTGCTTTGCTTCTAAGTAGTGATTTAAATTCTCTAGTATCCAGTAAGTCAGTAAAGTATACCTATGAAGGTCTTGCTGTTTCTTTTTTTAGTTGAACTTAGTCCATTTGTTTATTAATAATAATAGCTATTATTTGTAGTTCGTGTGTTTTAGGCACCGGGCTAAGGAATATGCATATATACAAATATATGTATCTTACCCAGTTTCCTAAGGGAGTATCACATCTCTGTTTTACAAGTAAACAAAAATCAGATGTTACCTGTCCCAAGTCCTCTAACTGGCAAATGGAGTTATGGATTTAAAACATAGGCTTGTCTGACTCCTGCGCCCTTGCTGTTGACCACTGCTTTGCACTGCTTTCAATAAACTGAATAAAAGTATTCCAAGATTTGGGAGTTCCCCAAGACCACCCTCACTTGTGACACCACTGCAGGGGCCACTCTCAGATTCAGTAATTTGCCAGAAGGACTCACAGAACTCAGCAAGGCCATTATACTCTTGATTAGGATTTATAACGGTGGAAGGATACAGATTAAAATCAGCCATGCAAATAGGCATATAGGGCAGGGTCCAGAAACACCAAGGCATGAGCTTCCAGTCGTCTTCTCCCGGTGTAGTTGTGCACACAATGCCCATTTCTCCTGGCAGCAAATGTGTGACAGTATTCACAGAGTATTGTCAACTAAGGAAGCTTGCTTCAGCCACGGTATATAGAGTTTTTATTGGAGTGCAGTCACTTAAATGTGGCTGACCACCCACACGGCCAGCCTTAGTTTCCAGCTCCTCCAGAGGTCATGGCTCTAAGCCCCAAGTGAACAAAGAGTCTTAATCAGCCAAGGCATTCCAAGGGAGTAGAAGTTATTTCCCAGGACCCAAGGGCAGATACCAAACCTCTCTTTAGGCAAGGCTAGTTCTTTACTACACCGGTATTCTGTTTTTGCTGAAGATTTTACAAGATTACAGCACAGCTATGATTTGGCGGCCTGCAGACAAGGCCAATATTTTCAAGAGGGAAATGTATGCTAAATTTCGGTGACTCATGTCTGGATTTTCCATATCTGTTTTACTTCCTTTGTGTATCACCTTATTTGTGCTGATTGGGATGAATGTTAAATCTTATATTTAATGTTTGGTTAAACCCAACCTCAGGGAGATAGATTTTATAGTTTTTACATGCTGTGCGTCTGCATGTGTATATGGGATTTTCCAATTCTGATTCTAAATAGGTATATTTCTGTCGCTTTATTATTATAATTCTATAACTTGACCTAGTATCACAAGCTGATTTAATAACTTTCTATGAGCAATTTCTCAAATCCATCACAGTAAAGTTTTTCTGCCTCTCTTAAAATACCCTAAACTCAAAAGTTCTAAAATCAATAGAATTATTTTGAATTTGCCTTGCTGAATTTATGGTTGTGATTTTTAAAGTATTAAGTTAACTGTTCATCCAGAAAGACCTGAGGTACATTTTTTACAGAATTCCTAAAATGTATTCTTACAGTATTGAGCTAGAATAAAATATTAAGTTATACAATCAGTATAAACTGTTGGCATTTATTTAGTGAGAAATTGGAGTGAATCCAAATTATAATTTAACCTGGATTTTTTTTTTTTTAAATCTTTTCCTCATTAGGGTATCATTTATTATGTTACAACTTCTTCTAAGCTAGAGGAGTGGCTAGCTAATGAGACAATGCAGGAGGGACTGCGTTTGTGTGCAGATCGAAATTATGTTGATGTAGACCCAACATTTAATCCAAACATTGATGAAGACTATGACCATCGACTAGCTGGCATATCCAGGGAGAGTTTCTGTGTGATTTACCTCAACTGGATAGAGTATTGCTCTTCCCGAAGAGCAAAGGTAGAGGTTATTTCATTTATAACTGTTTGAGCCTATTTTTTCAGAGATGGAAAGACTATCCCTGTTTGTTACTATGAGGTCAGTTTTTCCAGATCTTCCTCTTCCTGATCATCTGAGTAAGAGAATCTGCTGTTGTTAAAAAAAATAAAACAAAACTCAGAGGTTGAGGGGAAGCAGTATTCTCCAGATAGCAATTTGATTTTCTTTACTATAGTTATAGTCACTGGGAGGGTAATACAGCCGTCACTAATAGCCAGCTTATGTCCAGAAATAACTAATTAATAGATAGAATATTGTATTTTCAGGAGAGGACGTTATCAGTAATGGTGTATACCAGTAAATACTTTGAGATGTTTTGCTAAGATCCTTATACTTTATAAAACAGCCAGTTTTTTAAATTTGTTCTGCTATTATAAAGTATTAGATTTTACTTAAAGGTTTCAAAGAGCCTCCTCATACATATTGATACTTCATTTTATACTGATTTGCTAAGCTTCTTCTCATTAGAACTATTTGAAGACATGGAAATTGTATGCTAGTTGAGTTCTTCATTCTGATTTGTTAAATATCTTCTGATTTGTTAAAATACCTTTATACCTTTCTGATAACTAATGTTCTTTGTTTTTTAAAGCCACTGGATGTAGACAAAGATTCATCCCTGGTGACTCTTTGTTATGGACTTTGTGTTCTGGGACGGAGAGCTTTGGGGACTGCATCCCACCATATGTCCAGGCAAGGAAGGCATTTCTGTTTTCAGGAAAAGAGTAGGGGGAGTTATATAACATAAATCTGAAAAATCTGAGATAGCTTTTTAGAATGCTTATTCTATGCTAATTTATTGCAAAAGTCTCTTCTGATACTGGTTTTTTATAGATCTTTGAACATAGTTGAGTTCTCTCAAGTGGTTAATAGCTGGCTTTTAAAATTCACACGTGTGGGTAACTACTGGTAACAAGAATTTAATGGAGTTAAGGCATTTTTAATAATCACCCCATAAAGTTTATTGGTCTCCCCCTGTTTTATATCTGTTTTTCTAATGATTTACCTCTTTTTATTTTTCCATATATCCATGTAGTTTTTGTCCAAAGCATTTATGCTTTTAATATGGCTAATATAGTACATTAGATTTAGGGAGTATAAATATAAACTGAATTTCTTGACATACGTACGCATCTTAATGAATTAGAATTAAGAAATATTACCTGGTTTAGATTCTTTTGTGATTACTATATGTTTTCCAATAGGCCCTCCTTAAGTTTTTGTAGCTTATATACTCTTCGTTGTTGATTTTCATGGACTCACTGTTATAGTGGTTATTAAACAAGGATCCCAGCCCAAACAGGCCCTATATCCCCTGTGATTCTGATTGAGGGGTTCTGGCATTAGTACAGTCTTTGGAATCTGTATTTGCAAAACACTCCCAGATGATTCTGATGTACAACCACATGTAAGAATCAGTGTGATGGTAGATCTTTGTCAAAATGTGTAAACTTTTATCTCCAATCCTAACAGTAATTTAGAGTCATTCCTCTATGGACTACATGCCCTATTTAAGGGAGATTTCCGTATTTCTTCAATTCGAGATGAATGGATCTTTGCTGACATGGAATTACTAAGGAAAGTAGTAGTCCCGGGGATCCGCATGTCCATTAAACTTCATCAGGTAAGAAAAGGAAAACTATAATGTATTACTGGTGTTTAATGGTGCTGGTTCACTTCCAAATTATGTTCCTGGGGAACTTTTTGAGAAACATTTCATTTGAAAAACAGAAAAACATGATTTATGGCAAGATATTAAATCTTAGAAGCCTGAACGTATGTTTCTAAGAGTAAATTTGAATATTAATATTAAAGAGTAAATGATCTGGGCACGAACTTGAGTCAAACTGTAAGCAGTGACAAACTGGAAATAAAGGTCCCTCACCCTTAGAATTCTTGTTTTGACCTCACATTTCACATGTGATTCAAGCCTCTTCCGTAGCTGAATGTTAGCCAACTCCCAGTGCAGTGGAGTAGCATCTCGGTGGAGTTGTAAGTGCTGCTATTACTGTACTCTGTGTTTAGTGTAGCAAGTTATACAGAACGATAGATGGTCAGGACAGATTTAGCCTTAGTTAAATAATCCTAATAGGGTAATAAAAATTAAAATGTAACCCCCAAATACGTTTCCAAAGCCCTGGATCATTTCAAGACTGTATTATGAGATTAAGAACTGGTGCTTGCTGCCCTAATCATTCCACTTGACAATAGTCATCAGATCTGGTGACAAAGACTGCCTGATAAGCCTCATTAAAATGCATCTTTTATACTCAAATCTGTTTGAATATTTTTCCCCCCACATAAAGGGTGAATTACTCTGCAAGTGATAATACTATAATCTAAGACTGCTGGAATAAAGTCAATGTCCCATATTATTAGGAGATTACTGATCAGGGATATATTATTTGAAAGTCTCTGTTGAAAATGGAATAGTATTTTGAGGATCATGGAGAAAATGTACATTTGGGAACAAAGAGTTGTCCATCTTCAGACTGGCTTTCTGGTTTTGAGACAATTCAGTGTCTTTAAAAGAAAAAAATAATGACTTTAGGTTAAAGTGTTTTTAAAACTTCAGAATTTCTCAAAAGGCACTGATTAATATATCTGCTCTGTAAGAAATACTCTTTTACATAACATGATTATCTAACAACTCCAAATAGATTGTCAGTTAATTCTAAAAGTTATGACAAGTATTTTATCTCCATTTGTCAGAGAAGAAACTGAGGCACAGGGTATCTGTATTTTCTGATACCGTAGGTCTTTGCCGCCATCTCTTCCTACAGGTGCTCTTACCTGTTGCTGCCACGTTCATTTCCTTACATGTTCCTTTGGCGGTGGCGTTATTGCCCGTGACAGTGTTTCTCTACCTTACATGATGGCCCAACACAGTTGGGTAAACTCACTCTCATTAGCCGTGACTGACAACAACAGTGACAAGCAGGGGGTAAGGGGTTGGAATCAGGAACCCAGGAGCCACGGAAGGCTGGTGAGGGGAAGGTAGGGGACACAAGTGCCCCTGGAAAAATTCCATAATTCTGACACACCTTTGAGAAGGCTGAGGTGGACCCATTCAGTGGTAAGAAACAACCATTTATGAGCATCATTTTGAGACAGAATTTGGGTTGCCCATGAGGGACTCTCAGGCCAAGAAAAGATAGATCTGTAAATAGGTAATCTCCAAGGTTTGTATGTTGTATACTCCTGAAAACTCCCAAAAGCAAAAAATGGGCAATGTTAAGCGAACAATATTAAAAGAGAGGATATGCATACACATTCCATAGAACCCAGAAATAATTACCTAAGAGAATGAAAGTTTATGTCTGTACAAAGAACACACATGTGTGCATTGGAGTCTTAATTGTAATTGCCTCAAACTGGAAACAACTCAACTGTCCATCAACAGACGAACAAATTATGGTATATCTACATGATAGAATATTACATAGCAATAAAAAGGAATGGACTACTGTTAGACTCCACAACATGAATGAATCTCAAACATTATGCAGAGTAGAAGCCAGACATAAAAAGAGACATATTGTATAATTTTATTTATATAAAATCTAAAGCCAAACTAGTCTGTAGCCACAGAGAGCAGATTAGTGGTCCTTTGGGATGTGGAGATTGATTGAATGCCAAAAGACAGGAAGGAGTGTTTGGGGATGAGGGAGAACTTTTATATCTAGAATGTAGCAGTGGTTACATGGGTGTGCATATTTGTCAAAATGCTTCTAACTGCATGGTTAAAATGGTATCGTTTGTTATATGTAACTTATACTTCAAACTTAAAAAAAGGTTTTTTTTCCCCCAGAAAGCTAGAAATATAAAGTTTCTCTTAACCCTTGCCTCTCAATCTTTGCTAATGTGTGTTTAGTACTTTGTAGGTGTTTTTAATTTTTGCTTTTTCCTTTACAGTTCTTTTTTGATTTTTTAATTCTCCAATCTAATGTATTATGTTTTTACTTTATAAGTTAAAATTTATAATCTGTGTAGTATTTATAATTTTACACTGTTGTGCAGCTTATTAGTGTTCTTATATACATGATGTCTCCACAACCCAGAAAATTATCATTATCATTATTATTTTTTAGTAAACTGGGGGGGAAACCCATTTATTTATTTAATTTTTGAGAGACAGAGACAGAAGGTGAGTGGGGGAGGGGCAGAGAGAGAGAGGAAGGTACAGAATCTGAAACAGGCTCCAGGCTCTGAGCTGTCAGCACAGAGCCCCACACAGGGCTCGAACAACCGTGAGATCACCACCTGAGCCGAAGTCTGATCCTTAACTGACTGAGCTACCCAGGCGCCCCAACCCAGAAAATCATTTAAATCCCAATTTGGTAGGTGAAGACTAAGAACTCAGAGAAATTAAGCAAATTGCCTTTTTTATGTGTTCTCTTCTTGTTCATGTGTTTTCTTCTCTATTTAATCATTTTGTAAAACACTTTACCTCCTTGTTTTACCATTGTCATTAGTCTCAACATCCAGTTTGGCTTATAAGTGACATGATGAAAATCTTACAGTCAGTCTGTGATTGAGGACAAAGATGTTTTGTTTTGAGAGTGTGTGCGTGAGAGAAAGCAGGGGAGGAGCAGAAGCAGAAAGAGAAAGAATCTTCAGCAGGCTCCCTGCTCAGCAGAGAGCCTGACATGGGGATCAGTCTCACAACCCTGAGATTATGACCTGGGCCAAAATCAAGAGTCAGATGTTCAACTGACCGTGGCACCCACGTGCCCCATATTTCTTATTCGTCTTTACATCATCATTGCTTAGCACAATGCTTGGCCGCCAATGAATGCTAAATGAATCAGTTTCATTATCTTCAAAAAATATATCTTGTGCATTGGCTTATAACTTCTCAAGTGTATTTTTAAAACGCCTTTGAAAAACTTTTGCCAGAACTGGGAACATTTGCTCTTTTTATTTGAAACATAATGAAAAAGATCACCCAAGAGTATCTTCCCATCACCCCATACCATTGTACAGCCCTTCCAAGAAGCAGCCACTGCCAATAATTTGATGTATATCTTTTCTGATTTCCCTAAGTTCATAGACATTTCCATCTATATGTATAAATATTTGCCTTTTTAAAAATATAATTGTGCTACATAAAATGATCTGTGGCATATGCTTTCCCCCCTATTTAATATAACATGGATGGGGTATCTGGGTGGCTCATTTGGTTAAGTGTCCAACTCTTGATTTTGGCTCAGGTCATGATCTCACAGTTCGTAAGATCAAGGCCTGTGTTGGGCTCTGTGCAGACATCAAGGAGCCTGCTGAGGATATTCTCTCTCTCTCTCTCTCTCTCTCTCTCTCTCTCTCTCTGCCCCTCCCCTGCTCAGTGTACATATGTGTGTGCTATTTCTCTCTCAAAATAAATAAACTTAAAAAATACATATAACATGAATAGCCAGCACATACAGAGGCACATCACATTTTTAACAGCTCTGTAGTATTTCAGGGTATGATTTTTAACTACAGTTTATTTAGCAATTTCTGTATTCATGGACATTCTGCTTGTTTCAAATACTTTGCCTCCAAAGCAATATTCATTCAGCCCAATGAGAAGAAATATTTGAACAAGATTAAACATACTCCATTTTGACATGCCTAATATTTTCCAACTTTGTCCATTTTATTAAGAATATAATTATTGCCTAGGTCTGCACTTTTATTTTCCATTCAAAAATTATACCAACACTACCATACAAAGGAACTGTTCCTTCCCTAGAGGAACTATTTGCTACAAGAGAGTGCATTATATGAAATCTGGTTATCTGCTGATATGAGAAAGTGAGCTTAATATTTAAAGGAAAGGTTAGGAGGGTTGGTGTACAGAGGTATTGTTAATTTGTAAACGTGGCTTAGGCCACGTTCTTTAGAAACAGAGTCAGAGTCCAGGACTCCTGTGCAAGAGATTGACAGGGTGCCCTCCGGGGAATTTGTAAGGAAGGGAGAGAAGCAAGGAAAAAGCTAAACAAAACTTGTATTTCAGCTGAATTCTAGCTTCCGCTGAATTCTAGAGTGAGTTCTGGAGTGTCAGTGTCACCAAGAGTTATATTAGAGGGAACTTTTATGTATATTAGAGTTGTATGTAAGAGGGAATTTTTATGTAGTTTAGCCTTCCTTAACTGATAGCAGTGAGACAGTTCTTGAACAGAAAAAAATTATGTGTGAATGAAGACATGTAAAACCCAACTTGAATGAGAAAAAGAATATACATAAAAATGGGAAAGGTATTTATTTATTTAAAACTTAGAGGATAGGGTTGGATTGAAGAATTTACAAAAGTAGTACGGCAGTAATGAGCTAATCCCTAATCTGATTGAATTTAAGAATCTCTGATTTATCTCTAACAATAATATGTATGGATATGAAACATTCATATTAAACCAGTTTTTAAGAATTTTCATTTAGTAACTGAGTAGTAACTATAGAAGCTTTTATCAGTACACTGGAAGTCCTTCACTTCCTATAAACCATATTTTGGGGGCACTTGGATTGCTTAGTTAAGCATCCAACTTCGTCTCAGGTCATGATCTCACAGTTCGTGAGTTTGAGCCCCACGTGGGGCTCTGCACTGACTGTGGAGTCTGCATGGGATTCTCTGTCTCCCTCTCCCTCTCCCTCTCTCTCTCTCTCTCTCTCTCTCTCAGCCCTGTTAGTGCTCTGTCTCTCTCTCAAAATAAATAAACTTTAAAAAAAAAACATTTTTTATTTCTGTTTAGGATCATTTCACTTCTCCAGATGAGTATGATGACCCTACTGTGCTCTATGAAGCCATTGTGTCTCATGAAAAGAACCTTGTAATAGCTCATGAAGGGGACCCTGCGTGGCGGAGCGCGGTTCTTGCCAATTCTCCCTCCCTGCTTGCTCTGCGGCATGTCATGGATGATGGCACCAATGAATATAAGATCATAATGCTGAATAGACGATACCTGAGCTTCAGAGTCATTAAGGTAAGTTTTTGAGGCGTTTGTGTCTGAAAAAAGAAGAAAGGAACTTACATAACCTTGTCCTAACTTTAAAAAGTCATTGAAGGGGCGCCTGGGTGGCTCAGTCGGTTAAGCGTCCGACTTCAGCTCAGGTCACGATCTCACGGTCCGTGAGTTGGAGCCCCCCCCATGAGTTCGAGCCTGCTTCCGATTCTGTGTCTCCCTCTCTCTCTGCCCCTCCCCCGTTCATGCTCTGTCTCAAAAATAAATAAACGTTAAAAAAAAACAAAAGTCATTGAAACTCTTTTTATAGACAAAAAAAAAAAAATGACCATACTACATTAGCATTATTTATGAGCACTTAATTTGATTTATTTTAATGTAATTTATTCTGTCCTCTGAAATTTTCTCAAGTACGATAGAGTCTTACAATGTTTGCTTATTTTCTTTCTGTGGGAGTCTTATCTATTATATATGCTATCTCTTCTTAGAATATCAGCATCTCTTCTTAGAATATCAGCACCACATTGCTAATCTGATTCCTAGGTTGCAAAATAATACCATAGTTTGTACTTTTCATTGTTTTTTATTTTTTGATTTTTTAAACATCTCATGGCTTTAGGTAGCTTAATTTCTGAGATTTTATTTTAATAGTTTATAACGATTTGCTTTTTATCTACTTCATTTAATCAACCTGCAAAGTCACAAACATCCTTTTAACTCTAAATATTTGTTACTGCTCATTTCTATCAAAAATATCTTATTACCCCAATTGCAAAATGCAACACTTTATCAATTTGGTAAACTTGGTATTTTTGTAAGGCAGACCAGGGAAGAGAGTACCGTGGCTGCTTATTATTTAACAGCCTATGAATGACAATGGAAAATTGAAGAGCTCCTATTCAAATGTGACGTACTTGTATTTCTTGCTTTTCACTGTTATCATAGGTCTTTTGTATCTCTCCCATTTATACTCTTCTGTTTATATGAGTTTCATTCTTGGCCCCTTAACCTAATTCCCACGTGTTCTGGTTTTCAGGTTAATAAGGAATGTGTCCGAGGTCTTTGGGCAGGACAACAGCAAGAGCTTGTGTTTCTACGTAACCGTAATCCAGAGAGAGGGAGCATCCAGAATGCAAAACAAGCTCTGAGAAACATGATAAACTCATCTTGTGATCAACCTATTGGCTACCCAATCTTTGTCTCCCCCCTGACAACTTCTTACTCTGACAGCCACGAACAGCTTAAAGAAATCCTTGGGGGACCTATCAGCTTGGGCAATATCAGAAACTTCATAGTGTCAACCTGGCACAGGTGAGCCATGGGGTTGCATATTTCAGTGATGGTGTGTCCTGACCATCTTCATCCAAGCAGTTTTCATGAGCATCACCTGGAAAGCTTCTAGAAAAAATACAGATGCCATGGCACAATCTAAACCTATTCTATCAGGAACTTCGGGAAGTAGTCTGTTTCAAACTCTTATTCAATACATCAAATGTACAACTCTGGTCAATAACCACTGCTCCAGGGGCACCTGGGTGGCTTAGTCAGTTGAGTGTCTGACTCCTGATTTTGGCTCAGGTCATGATCTTGTTCATGGGATTGAGCCCCACGTCAGGTTCTGTGCCTGAGATTCTCTCCCTGGCGCTCTGCTCCTTCTTTGCTTGTGCTCGCTCGCTCGCTCTCTCTCTCAAAATAAATAAATAAACTTTAAAAAAAAAAAAAGAACCATTCCTCCAGCATTTGGTAGAATCTTGAATAGTTCCCTTTTCTTTAGCTTTTCTTATTCTATATTGCAGCATAGTGCCACTATTAGGATGTGTGAGCCAACAAACGGCAAATTAGAGAAAAACGTAGGAAACCTGAACAAGCTGATTACTTTTGTTTTATTCCATTCTAGCAGTAGGGGGCGCACACTGTATTTGCTGAAACTCCTGCTTGTGCGATGCGGAGATACTACTGCCATTTTAACAATCCAGTCATCACTCAGATCTCGAATCTGTGGTGTCTTCAAGTGTGCACATGAGTTTTTTCTCTTCCTTTGTCTAGTAAATTACGGTGTTTTGTATAGGAACATCATAGTTTGGTGACTGGTGAAGAAAAGTCACGGAGTATCTTCAATTTCTTACAAGCTTTTGTTCAGATCGTTAAATAACAGAACTTAAAAACAGGATGTGGAACTGGGGTGGCAAACTCTCAAATAGACATCTTCTTCTAGGCATATTCAGAAAAAAAAAAAAAGTTTCACCATTTTAGTATAAGAAAGAAGAAATAAACCAGAGTGGCGTTCGAAGAAATTTCTTTCCAAAACTATCCGTTGTGCTGGAATTGCCTTGAAGAGGTTGAGTTCTCTTCCCCTGAGAGAAATGGTATAGAGATTAGAGTGCCTAACTGCCCTGGTTTGCCCAGCACTGAGAGGTCTCCTGGGAAGCAAGACGTTCAGTGCCAGACTGAGACAATTAATTGTAGGCTATCCGGGATAGTTGGTCACCCCACATTAAAAAGGCAGGGGCGGGGCAGTGATTACAGCAGTGCTCATCCAAGTGTGCTACAGCAGAAATGAGGTCTTCAGGGGTGCACACTTCAGAGGCGCTGAACAGACACTGCCAAGAATTCTGTTTCCATCTGTAATCTTAATGGTGCAGTTTTGTTATGTGCAGTTTATTATGGTTCAGGAAAGAAGGCAAGATCAGAAAAGATGATAGAGTATATAAAAGTGAAGGTAGATTGGGAAGAATTGAGGCAGTGAGTATAACGGGAATAGTTCTTAGGCCATCCTTTGAAAACATAACTGACCTTTTTTTGTTTCTCATATTGACTATGCTGTAAAGACTTTGGAAGGTGAATGTTAGTAGCATTAAACATTCTGAATAGCTGGAAATAGAATAAAACCCTTATCTTGAGGTGATTGTGGGATAATGCTGCTTACTTTGGTGTTTGTTCCCAGGTTAAGGAAAGGGTGTGGGGCTGGCTGTAACAGTGGTGGCAATATTGAAGATTCCGACACTGGAGGTGGAATTTCCTGCACTAGTAACAATGCAACAAGTGCCAGTGACCCCCATAGCAATGTGTCCCAGGGAAGCACTGCAAATCCAGGGCAAGGGTCGGGAGCAGGACCCCATCCACCTGTCACATCTTATCCTCCAGCACTAGGTAATGTGAAAACAAACTTACGTGTCTAAGCCTCTTAGCTCTGGGGCTCAGTTAGTATGCATGTCTAAAGAGGATTCTAGATTACCTACTTGGAAATATGTAAAAATATTTTGTTTGATTCCTGGTTGGATGTTATCCTATTTATATTTATCCCTTTATATATACGTAAAATTTGAAATGTCATGTCTTTGTAAGTATAATTTTTAAAGGCTAATAATAATCTAGTTTATAATGTGATTAACTTCTCTTTCATTGGTCAATGATTTGGTTTCTTCGAATGTTACAAATAAACTTTGTGACTGCTGTTTTCTTGGGCTAGAGACTTTAAAAATGCAATCACTAAATCAAAGTTTATGGGAATATTTAAGATTCATGACACATAAGGCCAAAAGTCTTTCCAGGAAGCTTTTGTTTTTGTTTTTGTTTTTTTAACCAGTTGGTACTCTCACCAGTTATACAAAGGAATGCCCATCCTGTAAACTTTGACCTGGAGTATTATCGGTTCCCTGCTTGCTCAGAACAGGAGAAGGGGTGGTCTTTAATTTCATTGTTTTAATTTGCATTGCTCTGATACCCAAGACTGAAAGGTTTTAAATTGAGTTTATCAGCTGTTTCTCTCTTTGAAGTACCTGTTAAATCTCTTGCCCATTTTTCTATTTGGTCTTTTTATTTTATTTGTATATTCTGTATTCAAGTTCTTTGTCAGTTTTCTGTACTACAAATGTCTTTTCCCATTCTATCCCTTGACTTTCGATTCTCTTTCTGTGAAGAGTGCCTCCCCTTCTTTTATATATATATGTATGTATATATGTATGTATATATATATGCATATATAATTATTAATTATATATTATATAAATATATTGTACAAATTAATTTATATGTGATGATTATTATATATTATGTTATATAAATATATATATAATTAATTTTTTAAGTTTATTTATTTTGAGAGACAGAATCCTGGGCAGGCTCCATGCTGTCAGCACCAAGCCTGATGCAGGGCTCGAACTCAAGAACTGTGAGATCATGACCTGAGCCGAAACCAAGAATCAGATGCTTAACCCGCTGAGCCACCCAGGCACCCCGAGTAGCTTCTCTTTTGACAAGAAGTTCTTGGTTTTAGTGTGGAGCAATTTGCTGATCTTTTCCTTTCTGATTAGTACTTTTTATATCCTACTTAAGAAATTTTTTCCTATCCCAAGGCACTGATGGTATTTTTTTTTTTGTTTTACTGATTTTCCTTTTACATGATATCTGCAATCCACATGGTATGCAGTAGGAATCAGATTTAATCTGTTTTCATATGGCTGATTGGTTGATTCAGGACTGTCTCCCCCCCCCCCCGCTTTATATGAACGAGATGAAGTCTTAAGACATTTACTTATGTTTAAAAAAAATCCAATAGCATTGTAATCAAGACTAAATAGGTATATTATCAACATCTTGTGGTTCTTTTTTAACTTCTGAGTGAAAAGTTAAAACTTTCAGTGTGCTTTTTTACATGCTCTTACTTTGATCAGCTCTTTGTGTTTTCAGATAGAAAGTACATGGAGGAATTTTTTCATTAGAGTTAAAACTTACTTTCTAATTCTCACATTACTGTTAGGAGTCATGAAAAAGACAAACCTGAGGAATTCTATCAAGCAATTTGAAAAAGGACACAGAAGAACCTGCTATTCAGTATCACTGATAATTCATGTATAGTAGCAATCCTGTAATGGATACGAAGATTGCAATGTGGTATCATCATCTCTCTATAGACCGTGTAGTGTGTCATTGGAACGGATTGAAAGGCCACTAATTCTATACCTTGAGAAATAGTTATGGATCTTGCCACATGAATCCTTAGTAAATATTTCTCATGGTCTCGTTTCCATGAGATACTTAATTTCTGAAGTAATAAAGAGTTATTCTTGTTATTCTGAAATATTTCTGTGGAAGATATTTTAGGATTTATCCCAGCATTAAATCCAGATACTTGCTGAAATTATTTGTGTCTTTCTTTTACTCCAGAATTTTAATTTTTAAAAAGCTTTAGCAAATTGGGTGGCAATTTGGGCAAATTGGGCAGCAAACTGACTGAATGGCTCAGTCAGTTAAGTGACTGACTCTTGATCTTGGCTCAGGTCATGATCTTACAGTTTGTGATCTGCATTGACAGTGTGGACCCTACTTGGGATTCTCTCTCTCTCCCTCCCCCATTCACTCTCAAATAAATAAACTTAAAAAAAAATTGACAAGCTTTAGCAAATTAAAATTATATTATCAAAACCACACAAGAAAGCCGATCTCAAATATTTATTTATTTTTGATAACTTAAAAAGTTTTGAATATAAGCGTTAAATTCAGTACATTCAAGTCATTTTGCTTAAGGGATGAAGATTTAGGGGAAAAAAAAGAAAAGAACCGTGTTTGAATCACGCCATCTGGAATAAGTGCTGTTGTTTCTCCCTCGCTAGGCACTAGCCACAGCTCCCACTCTGTCCAGTCAAGCCTGGTCAGACAGTCCCCTGCTCGGGCCTCAGTGGCCAGCCAGTCGTCTTACTGCTACAGCAGCCGGCACTCGTCTCTCCGGATGTCCACCACGGGGTTCGTGCCCTGTCGGCGCTCGTCCACCAGTCAGATATCGCTCCGGAACTTGCCGTCCTCCATCCAGTCCCGCCTCTCCATGGTGAACCAGATGGAGCCCTCCGGTCAGAGCGGCGTGGGCTGTGTGCAGCATGGCCTCCCCTCTTCCAGCAGCTCCAGCCAGAGCATCCCGGCCTGCAAACATCACACTCTCGTGGGCTTTCTTGGGACAGAGGGAGGTCAGAGCAGTGCCGCCGATGCCCAGCCGGGCAACCCCTTAAGTCCTGCCAATAATTCACACGCCAAAAGGGGGGAAGTGATTTACAGAGTCCAAGTGAGTAAGCCCACAGTTCTGGCACTGTCTCACCTGTTTGTGTTTATTTCTCATTTGTCGGGTGGAGGATGCTGGTGAAAACACACCTCATATTACTTAGTCTGAAGACTAGGACGTTTTTGAATGTTGAAAAAAGTTTCTGCCAGCCTGAAAACTGGAGGCAAGTAGTTTCTCAGTGGTGATTGTTGTTCCGCACTCAGCTGTTGTCATGTGGCCCTGGCAGTAAGGGCTGCTGTAGGCTAAAAGGAATTCAGGAGGTGGCCTTTCAGATTGTTTTTTGTCCAGTTACAGGCCATGGAGAACTTGAGACTTAGTCTGGGAAAGAGATTTTACTTGAGATTATATAATCTGTCATCATCAAGAAAAAAATTGAATTAGAAATGACCCATATTTATTTACAATACAGATCGTGGATCCCAGTCAAGTTCTGGATGGGATCAACCTATCAAAAAGGAAAGAGCTGCAGTGGCCTGATGAGGGTGTCCGGTTAAAAGCTGGGAGAAACAGCTGGAAAGACTGGAGTCCTCAGGAGGGCATGGAAGGCCATGTGAGTTCTCTTACGAAGCTGACCCCTGCTCTCACTTTTTGTGTAGCCTGACCGACTTGTGTGCACGTTTTTAGCTAATTGATGCTCATGCTTTTTTAAATGCACCTTTTGCTGAATTATCAAACAGAATGTCTCTAATTTTAAGTGAAGTTTGCAAATACATTCAAGGTCCCTGCCACTAATTTATTTTATTCTGAATCATTAGGTGATTCACCGATGGGTGCCTTGCAGCAGAGATCCAGGTACTAGATCCCACATCGACAAGACAGTACTTCTGGTCCAGATTGATGATAAATATGTGACTGTCATTGAAACCGGGGTACTAGAACTTGGGGCTGAAGTGTGAGCCAGTGTTTTATAACTACATTTCTCTTCCCTCTCCATTCCGAGACGTTGGAAAAAGAGAGGAGAGCGCAGAAGATGCCTGCAGGTTTTCCTCTGCTCCTGTGTGGGAGATACTTGGATGTAGAGTGGGCTCGGCCAAGCGCCTCTCCTTCGCCCTTCACCCTGACTCCTGTCACTGTCTCCATCCCCAAATAAAGCTGAACTATTTTTTTAAGTTAGCTGCCGACAAAACATTTTGCATGAAGGATAAAGTTCTGTTAAATTACATCCTTACAAAAATTTTTTTCCTATGCATTGCCTATGCTTTAAATCAACAAACTCTTCATTTCTAAACTACGATCTCATATTTTTCTAATTTCTTTGCCAAAAATAATTGCCATGTTTTGTCATAGAACATGAAATCCATTTACCTTGATTTTTAAAAACAGACCAGTGTAGAAACCTTCACTTTGACGTTTAGCAGTATGAAAGTTTCATGTACAGTGAAAGAGACTATGAACAGACATAGATTTATCTTATTCCTTGAGCGCTAAAAAACTTTAATGAGAAAACTGCACTAATTTTTTACAACAATGCACTAAAGTCTGAGATTTCTCAGAACATTTATTTATATATAAAAATAAAATACCATTATTTAAATTGCCTTTGGGATTAACCCCTGCCCTTTCCTTAAACATACATAGCAGGAACTGTGCTGCTCATTTTTTTGTCAGTAACCTATACTCCATTGCCAGTACATTGGGTGTTTTCTCTAAAATGAACCTTAAGGGTCAAGAGGTACATAGCTTCATCGTTGGAGATAGCGGTCAGTGCGTCGGTCCTGTGAACACCACTGCCAGCTCCTGTGTCCACACATCGGAGGCGCTCCAGCACCGGTGTGCCCCAGCTCCTCTTGGGGCAAGCTCTGCTGGGGTCAGTTCTGGGAAGAAAATACTTTTATTTTTCAAAGAAGAAGATGAGCATCCAGGAACTTAAAAAAAGGATCGATTGCTTTTCTATTCAGAGTCATTAGCTCTTGAAGTTACTCACATGCAGTTCAGTTAATCAAGTAAAATTTTTTCAAACGAAATTATCCAGATGGTGCAGTTCTTGTTATGTCCCTCTTCAATAACCTCGCCTTTTATTTTGCTCCTCTCTTCTTTTTCTATTACTTGAATTTTATTTCCTGTAATTTATAGTGTGTAGGTGTAATTTGAAATATTTATAACTGTGAAATTGACTTAATATGTTGTCTCATAACTTAAATTTTATTGTTTTTTTTTTTTTTTTAAATACACGTGTATTCAGGGAAATATATAATTCAGATTTACAATTGGGCTAGGTGGCAACTGTGGTTTAGATTTAATTTTCAATTTCCGGCATTTTTTAAATCCTTCCGAAAACTTTCCCCTTTTGTGTGAAACTCCAAAGAATATGTATACATCTCCTGAGCATTTAGGAGCAGCCATCTTTCCACCCCACTGCAAACGGGAAGTAGAAAGCAGGTGTGAAGTTAATCTTCAATGTGTATTTTATTTAGTCTGATACATCCAGAGTGTTACTCTTTCCCCATGTGGCGCTAGCCACATTTCAGGTACTCACCGGCCACATGTGCCTGGTGGCTCCTGTATTGGACGACACAGGTGTAAAGTATCTTTTGATGAGGTGACAGGAGAGAGAAGCTGTTTCCGCACTAACCCCTACTGTCGCTCTCACAGTATAGCATAACACTTCCGTAGATGGAATGAAAACTAACATCCGACTACATTTCCATTCCACAGTGTGGTTATTTTGCCCTTTTCTAATTTACAGTTTTCGTAGTTATTCAGGATCCAGTGTACCTCGTGCTGACATTTCCAGACTTCGCGCTTTGCCAAATGTACTTTTTAAAAACATTTGTCAAGTGATTTACTGAACCTTTACACAAAGGTACCCATTCTAAATTGACCAACTAAAACGTATTTTCCTGATACTGTTGTTACATTCTGTATTTGCCGCATTTTGGCAAATCTACAGTATGTCATTAAGGTCCAAGGCTTTTATGTTTCTCTTCTGAAACCGAATATATGATCTGTCTATCTAACCATCTATATTTATTTAAAATCTTCTCAAAGGAATTATGATTCCTGCTGCCTGTTCTCTTTCTGAAATGAATATGATCTTTTCATGGTCATTACCTAGATGGGAAGATACATGGAATCCTTTCAGTCCTAAATGGAAGATAATTCATTTGCCTACACAGAAAAAAAAAAAAATCTGAGCTTCAGATGATTCAGTCAGAAGGGCTATTCCTAGCCTCACACCCCCTACCCCCAATTGTTAAACACATTACACGCTCCAAAAATGTAAGACTAGATTTTATATGGAACATATATATTGGGTCTTGATTTGGCATGATAACTGTGGACATTCTTCTCAAAGCAAGTTGAATTTTGTTATCAGATAACCCTTGAAGGAATTTATGGAATAGAAACCCTAACAGGAGCCCTGTTTTTATTTTTTAGTCTAAACCTGATGGTCTTTTAAAAGTCAGAATACTTTTCTAATAATTACGGCAGAGGAAGCAGTGATAATTGAAGACTCATGTCTTAACAACTGGACCTAAATTATTATGTGGAAATATACATGCTTTCATTGAGTAAATTGATCATACATGTCTTATTCTGCCTTTCCCAGCCCCCCTTGGAGAATAGTGAACTGCTTATTTAGATTCCCTGCTTAACTGTCTTCATTAGTGTACAAGACTCCAGCATACACACGCTAGTGTCTTCAGTTCACATTTGCCAAAACTTTCAGAGTTCCATAATTTGAAAGTAAGAATATGTCATTAAAACACTAGCTTTTTATGCATTTCCCTTCAACAGAGTCTCATTGATACCTTTCTGGTCTTTGTCTTGTTTGAGTTTGTTTTTTCCCTTCTTTTGAGAGAGAGTCCTGGAGTGAATTATAAATTGTTACTTTCTTTTCTCATTTCCTCTCATTCAGTGGCAAAAATCATTTTACAACTCAAAATTAAGTTTTTGGTTAATCTTCGAGCTTATAACTTGGTGTGAGCCCTCTTTTTTACATCATTTTCAGTACTTGATAGAAATTTAAATGTTCATTTTTTTCTAAAGAAATCTAAATTTTCCAAGAGTATAGATTAATATAAGATGTTGGTATTTAAGGGACTTGGGAGAGTAGGTGGTGAGGCTGTCTATTTTTACGATAAGAGGAGATTAATTACCTTTCAGGAAATTAATGAACAATCTTCACCAGTGTTCTGCCTTCTTTGAGTTTCTATTATTGGAAGGTGAGCTTCCCTTAGATTTGAAGTCGTTTTAAAAATATTTCAAGTGTAACTGAGATACTTCTACTAGTCCTTGAAACAGAAGTAGACAGAGATAGTATTTCTATCCTGAGTGAGGTATGGAAAATTATTCTGTGTACCGAATGTCAGGTCATAGAAGTTTTTATGTAGAAATTAAGTTTATAAGGAAGATGGGTTTTTCTTCTTGGGTTGGTTTATTTTTCTGTCTTCTATCAAAATATAAAAAACAGCCTCAAACCTAAGCAAGAGTAGTTAACTTAGCCTTAATAAATTCCACTTTGCTTCCATGCAACGTCCTTCTGCCTCTGCTTAGAAATTCATTTGGTGGATTGCTGCATCGGTCCAGAACTAGATGTCTTTTAAACTTACGATTTGCCCAGAGTCTAAAATTATCTTTTTCTTTTAGTTAACTTTCAAAAATCTTTCCTTCTAAATATATGACTTGAGAAAAAGATACCTTAGTAATTTTGCATAAGAATTCTTTGAATTTATGTTCACTAGCTATTAAACTATAAACTGCTACCCAGATTAATTACCTTTGTGTTTATCTTCCTTATTCTTTCATTAATATAGACAATCCCTTCCCTTTTTTTTTTTTTTTTTTAAGTCCTCAGTATTCATTCTTGTTCTCTTTTGTAGTGTAATATAATCATACAGAATTACTTTGCCTGGACACAGACCCAGTGCATTTTTTCCCTTTGATGTGATAAATTGTTCGGGTGAAGTATAAAACATCAGTTTTTATTCTAGAGGCTTTTCCTTTAATTCTAAAATGAGTGGAAAGAATAATGTCAATCAAGGCTAAAATGATACTTGGAACCTGTCAAGGGACTTTGAAATTTCTGTTTTAGTCTTCTGACCATGCATTTGTGCAGCATAAGTTTTAATAATACATTGGAAATCTGCAGGGTTTTTTTTTTTTTTATTAAGTTTTTTAAAACCAACCTCTCTTCATTTTTCTTTTTTAAAAATCTGGTTGATATATACCTAGGCCTTCTCGTTTTTGACTTGCAAAATGTTGAGGTAAGAATTGTGACTGGAAAGGAATTAATTACTATACAAATAGATCTGGTGGGTATGTGAGTAGAGTGTTAATTTTGCTTGAAACAGAAGTATATTTTCTGCTTTGAATCTCCTCACCAGAGTCCTCTGTCAAGAACTATGTATGATAAGAATTTCTCTTTATTGCCTGTCAGCCCACATATTCTTTCTGAAGTAGAGTAAATAAGTTCTATTTGTGAGCTGAACTTTATCATCTGCCATTTTATGGAAGCAACACAGCATTCTTTGGGGGAAGCAGAACTGATTGTCCTCGCAAGGTTATGTGACGACTCTGCTCTAAGACTTACACCTGTTGTATAGGGTTATACCTTTTTTCTTACGCCTCAGCTCTGCACCTGACAATTTATGGTTCCGTGGAGCCAAGCTAGAAGGAACAAAGGTCATGTGAGAGTGGCGAGGCTGGATTCCTGGGTGTTACTTGTGCAGGTGAAGGGGCATCCTGGAATTCTAACCAGAGTAGTTGTCGGAAGTGAGATGGCTGCTCCAGATGACTCCTGGGTTTAGTGTAACTGTGGTTGAACAAGATTTTTTTAATGTATGAAGCTTGATTCCACAACCAAAATAACAGAAACGTGGGGAAAATCCTGTCTGCTTATGCTTTTTAAAGCTTACGGTTGAAGTGAAAATGAATTGTAAAAACTGATTACCTTAACCCTATACAATGGGCTCTGCATGAGGAAATGGAAGGAAGAATACTACAAGTGATTCAGGAAGGTATATGTGAGGAAGGAAAATGGGTTTCCCTTTTCTGATCATGGGCTCTGAAAGTATTCATTGCCTTTACCAGCATTCAGTATAAACCAGAGATAAGAATATATGTACTCGCGTGGGTCTGTGAGTGTGTGTGCGTCTGAGTGTTTGTTATTCTAAATAGCTTGTAAATATTGTAGTTGTTTAAAATGGAAAATAAAAGCTGAGATTGTTTTTTTCTTTGCAAATATATTGCATCAAAAATACAGTATTGACAGTGGATAAAACACTGAGGAAATAAATTTTTTTTCATTTTGCCTTCTGTCCATTTTTGTCAAGAAAAAATAGAATACATCATATAAAGCTCTGCATAGCATATTTTAAAACATGTACTTGGTTCTGAAATAATCATTTTAATCAGAAGCTTTGGCCTATAAACATGATTCAGCTTATAAGAGAAATGTACATATTTCATATTAAAAAGACATCTTTTCATACTTGGTAGAAAGGTTGTACTTTATGTCTTCTGAATTTATCTGAATATGTTATAGTAATGATACAACATTAGATGGAAAACCTAGGGTAATAAGTGTGTGTATGTGTTCACTGTAGTACACTAAGTTACAATATAGAAAAAGGAGTGCACATTTGGATTATGGTCATCAAAATCAGACAAACTAACCTATTGTTTACATGTGTAATACTTAAGAGAAAATGCAAGCTGAGAATGAGAATAGATATACTTTTTTTTTTTTTTTTGAGTTTATGTATTTTGAGAGAGAGCTCATGAGCTCAAGTCGGGGAGGGGCAGAGAGAGAATCCCAAGTAGGCTCCACGCTGTCAGCACAGAGCCTGATGCAGGTCTTGAGCTCACGCACTGTGAGATCATGACCTGAGCCAAAGTCAAATGCTTAACTGACTGAGCCACCCAGGCAGCCCGAGAATAGATACACTCTTGATTAAAACCCTTATTGAGCCATTAGTGAGTCATTTTAACTATTAGTAACAATCAAAACCATCAGGATGCTGATTATGTGCCATCTATATCAGAGTCCCAGACAGTTTTCTGTCTTCCTGTCCAGGATCACAATGGCACGACTGGGGATGTAGTAGTATTTAGTCTTAAAGGACATTATGTTTTCTAGTGACAAACCTGGAGGTTAAATGAGACACATCTTCAAAGAAAATAGGCTGGGTAAGTGAGCTGCATCAGCCTTACAGCCAGAGATTGAAAGGGCGGAAGACATGAAATTTGAGTCCCATAAAAGTTCTTCATTGTTCAAAGCGCAGTTTACTTAGGATTTTTCCTACTAAAGAAAGGATCCCAAAGTTTTGCCGACCTGTAGCCACTAAATCTCACTAGGTAGATGCATTTTCCTGTGGGGAAGGCAAAAAGCACCTTGTGAAGTAAGGGCATGACCCAAATGGTGGTTTCTTATGTATTCAGTCAGCACTTGTTAACACACAATATTGTTTTATTCCCCCCTTCCTAGGTACTTATTAAAGGAAATTAGGTATAACTAAACTTCATACTTGGGAAAATGTAATTTGATACAAGAGGATCCCTAGATTGCTTTGTAACTTCATAGGATACACAGTAACAGCAAATGGCTAGAGAGGAATCCATCTTGTCTGGTAGCCTTTTAAAACTATTCAGTGTCAATATGCAGTAAACTGTGCCAAAAGGGAAAAGTCATCCTTTAGTCCAGGGCTCCCTTTTGTTCCCCAGAACATTGCATGAATACATATTAATTGGCCCATATAAGAATACTTCAAGTCTTGGGACACCTGGGTGGTTCAGTCAGTTTAAGCAGCCAACTCTTGATTTTGGCCCAGGTCATGGTCTCACAGTTCCTGAGATCAAGCCCCATGTTGGGCTCTCCACTGGCAGCATGGAACTGCTTGGGATTCTCTCTCTCCCTCTTTGTGCCCCTCCACGGCTCGCTCGTTCATCCTCCCTCCCTCCCTCCCTCTCTCTCCCTGTCTCCGTCTCTCTCTCTCTCTCTCTCCCTCCCTCCCTCCCCTTCTCTCCTTAATAATGAATAAACATTAAAAAAAGAGAATACTTCAGGCCTCCATTCCAATTCTGAAGCACACAGTCTTGACCTGTCTTTATCAGGGAAAATCAACATCCCAAGATAACATCGAATTTAAGCAGATACCAAGTAGCACCTCTGTGTTCATAATACTCTTAATGGGTTTGCTCTCACACACCACCCACAACTTCTTGGTTTTCTATCAAT